CATCTTATTCATAAATTTTTCTTGAAAAACAAAAAACGTTCTGAAGTTAGGGTAATATATGTTATCCATTTAACATGTATGGCAACAAACAGAGTTTAGTAAAACATTGAGTTCAATATGATCTAAAGAGTTAAAAAGGTTTTAACTCTGTTAACCTATAAATAATAGATGGAGTTCTTCCTCATAAATATTCAAGTAATAAATTAAACACTTTCAATTTACGTAAAATAATTCGTTCAACTTTTTTATTTATTTATTTATAGGCATGTAGTAAGAATCCGTTAATGCTTGAATCTTGTTATTTTTCTATCTTATTTATATTAGTTAATATTAATATTAATATAAATTATGGTGGTCATATTAATCTATAAATAATAGATTATAAGCACTGGAATCTAATTGTGTATGAAGATGAAACCTGTATGCATTATTGATGGGAAACAAAATAATTTTCATAATTATATTAATTCTTTTCTGTCAATTAGTAGGTGTCTTTTTTAAAATGTAATAAAAATTTGAAAGATGAGGAAGGCTTGTCCTAAATGTTAGGCTGTCGTGTATTGGACATTGACTTCCTTACTTGTATCTTATAAACTACTGGTACAAACAATGCTGGTTAGAAGAACTGCACTAAAGCTTACTAATGTTATTATCCAACTGAGATGGAATGAGAAAATTATGGGAAAGGAATGATTATTTGATGGCAAACATATGGCTATATGAGAGCCACTCGTGAGGAAGATGTGGCCCTTCAAGGAAGTCTCAACTAATAGATGCAAACAATATGGTGTACTATTATTGCTTAAAAAAAAGAACAGGTCACTTTGCGTGCAAAGTGGATGTCCTTGATCTCAAATTTAATCTAAGAATCTTCATTTAATAGCATGAGATGAGATGGGGTATGAATATGGACCACGAAACTAAATTGACTCAATAAACTTAAATCGATATGTCAAAACTCGTTTAAATTATTTTTTATAAAAATTTGAATTAAATCAATTTGAATCGTATTATTTTTAGATTAAATTTGAATTTGATATTGAAAAATTTATCTGAATTTAAGATAATAAAAAAATATAATAAATTTCTTTTAATATTATTATATATAATAAATTTATATTATATAATATGCATTGCAAAATTAATTTGCATTAGGGCACCTTCGAGCTTTAGAATTTTTGATTTTCGATTAGATTTAAATTTTACAAATTCACTTTGAATCCAATATGTTATTATCCTTAAGTAAGAAGAAGAAGAAAAAAGATGATGATAACTCAATGAATTTGAGGCATGATAACAGTGATGTAATTTCAAGGCTTAATCTAAAAATTCGTGAGGATTTGTTTTTATTTTTTAAGTTGTATGACGTGAAGAGGAGATGTATATGAACTTCTAACTCATGTATTGGTGGTGGTTGATTTTCAACCTACCTAACCCTGTGTATTTTCCACCCTCATCAACCTTTTTGTCCCTTTCATATTTTTTTTTCTTTTTTCTTACAAAAAAGTGTGTGTTTTTTTTTTTGGAGATATCGAGAATTTGATGAATATGGAAAAAGATGAAAAGGAAAAGTGAAGAGTGTTTTTCTACCTTTGCAATTTAAGTCTTAAGAGTGGAGATATATTGAGTTCTAGAGATGCTAAGAATTTTATGAGATGTTTATACAACTTCTCTTTATATTTTATAGTAATTAAAATTAGTAAATATTCCCATGGAGGTAGGACAAGTAGATTGAACCATATTATTGATTCTATATCATATTTTATGATTATAGTGTAAAATTAGTTCTAGTAACATATAAGTTATCACAACTTGGTTGATGCAAGATAAAAAAAGATTTCTTACAAATAGTTTTAAAGTTTAGGATGTTTGGAATCATCATCCGTCTTATTGAAAATTGGATCGAAATGCTAGACAAATTCGAGCAAGTATCATTCCAAGATTTTAAGTTTGAGAATGATATGATGTAGGAAGATGTAGAGTA